AGGTATTTCTTATAGCATAATTAATTTTTCTCAAGAGCCACGTAAGGTGATTGAGATTATGGAGGGCAGTGGTAATTCTTCCCTCAGGATCATCTCCATCTACAGACCACCATCAGTTGTGTTCCAGCAGCATGTACAATATTTCGAGTTTGGACCTAATATGCAAGCTAAGGTATAGCGATAAATCATCAATTTCCTTTGCACAAGCCTGGGCAGAGTTAGCTGCTCTGCAGTTGGTTCAAAAAAGTTGTGATTTTGTCAGATTTTAAAAGCACTCTGCAATGTTTAGCTCAGAATATATTTAAAACTGAGATACATTAACCTGTGTCACACCTGATCGATACAGATTCAATTTATGTTGATTCCACCAGATCAGAGTGTTTCTGGAAATCAACTAGCAGACAACAAAGCTAAGGTCCCCCTTCGTAATAGCACACTCAACAGTGAAATGGTGTGGTCAGATCTACCGATTCATTGTAGAAGTACCATGAAAGCAATCTCCTATAACTTTTTCAAGATGCAAGCCCAATGTCAGAGCATTAATTATTTTAGATGGTGTCATCCTGATCTCTGTTATTTCGGTTTGAGGGATCTTCGTTGAACAGAGAGAAATTATCTGTAATAGAGTCCAACCTAACAAACACGGCCACTAAAGCTCATTCACACAAAATTGCTGCTTCAAGCGACTTATGCTCATTTGTGACTAGTGAAGTAGCAGTTCCCTCGAATGACGATTTTGGCCACTTAGCTCTTAGAGTGAACCAGGGATCGGAACGGTAAAGAGATAGTTGTGTTACAGCAATAATAAAACGTTCTTTTCAGGTAAACTTTTCTTCGTTTATTATACTTTGCGTCTCTATACGGTATCATCGATCGGTTCTATTACAATCGGTGTAATTCAAAATGTCGGAGGAATTGACTTGAGGATGTGGAAGTCAACACTTCCAGCTACGGAGGATGCGTGATTTGAGATTGCGGAAGCCATCACTTCCTGCTACGGATGATGCGAGAGCGATCACTCTCTGCTAATTTGTCCAGGGTAGCTAAACGCTGCGCTACTGGACTAAGTTGCTGAAAACGAAACTAGAACCACAGAGTCCTCAACGAACGGTGTGATCCAAAAAAGATGGTTCTCTCTCGGAAGAGAGAAGCTGGATATTAGATGCCGTTGTGTTACTCGTGTGCGGCTCGTGCGACCAACTTAACCGCCTGCCTATAAAGTTCGCTTTCTCGCACTTGTATCGCAAAGTACTATTTCAGTTCTAAAGAAATTTGACGTTACAAAGTTGAATTCGGGTCACTTTCACTGTCAATTGATTACAGAGTTGACTCGTTAAAATATATGCGTCGTGCTGTTGACCAGTTTTCCACTAGGGAACTCCTGATCACAGGTAGACGTGGTACTATCTAAAACAACGTTGCTATCTTGGCGAGGTGAGAAGTCTCATTCGCAAAGTAGCTAGTTGTACAAGTCTTTAAATAAAGTTAGGATGGCATGTATAGCGAAAACGGCACAATGATCAAATGTATCAAAGTGACGGCCCAACTGAAATGCAGAGATTGATTCTATCTGGCAGACGAGACGGTTTGCTCGATTACAAGAGTAGAAGTTCCTCTAGAAATGATGGTCAAGTGGGACGGTTTGCCCGCTTGCCCGAGACGGTTTGCTCGTTTACTTTACTAAAGGTAACCTAGCTAGCTCAGGTGATAGAATGCTCGAGTCGCGAAACGTCGCCGTTTCTATACTCGTCAACGGTAGGCCAGGGGGCCTGAGAGGTGCGGAAGAATTGAGCGTCGCGATGCCTACGAATTGTTATTACTTGATATTTAAGATTACTCGGGTTAGCGGGATCTTATTATTACCGCGATACGAATATCCTCGGATGTATAGGTTACAGTATATGTATACAGGATGAATCACGAATCGTGATCAGTATAGATTACTTTGTTATTAGCAGTCTAATCCAAAATGCTTTTATCAGCTTTTGCATGGTTTCAAGAGAGCTTTAACGTGATAGTGAAAAATTACTGGTCAACTCTTTTTTAAATGTTTTTTTAAGGTTACCTTGAATTTTTTGCAACTGAACATATAATTTTTTTACGCCTGTCTGTTAGAGGATTTCAAGACGAATTCGGCACATGTAAGGACATGACATTTTTTTCATCTGGTTCGAAAGAAAATTAAAAAACTTTGTATCACAAGGAGAATCACAGCTACGCCGTTATGACGCAACCAATGTTTTGACTTTATATGCAGAAATCGTTTTTTTGATCCCATTCGAGTATTCTTCACTTAGCGGTACTAATATTTTGGAACAATATTTATAACAAATAGAACAATCTGGAACAACAAAAAAAGTTTGATTTTCCATAAATGGGGGGTTCCGGTAAAAAACTGTTTTTTTCGTCTCACCGCTACAAATTTTAATTGAGAAACTTGTTTTTCTGGAACAATATAGAACAAACATAGAACAACTCAGAACAAACAATGGAACCGAAATTTTTGAATTATGGGGGCTAACTTCCCGGACCCATGCCACTTTGAGTAGTTCCGGTTATAAGATGAAGTTAGGAGATGAAGTAGGACTGAGGCCTGTTTTCTTTAACGCGGTTCAATGCATAAGCTGTGTTTATCTTCAAAATTCAAATGTCTAATTATTGGCTAATAGCACAGTTAAACCGAGTTTATACATTGAACCGCGTCGAAGAAAACGGGCCTCAATCCTACTTCATCTCAAAATTGCCTACCAGCGCCATCACAGTAATAACCGAAACTATTAAAGTGGCATGCCACAATTATGGCATGATTTCCAGAATAGGGTTCCTGGTAGTTTAAGGCAGTCATCTGGTTAAGAGGCCTAAAAAAGGTGTTTTTCGGCAATGTTTGGTTATATGGAGAGAAACAACGGAACGTCTTAAAATTTTTAGTGTATTTTAACGTACATTTGGAAAGAAAAAAATTGTTTTATCATCAAATTGTCGCAAAACGGCGGAATTATTAGCTGACCATTGAAACGCCTCGCTGCTGTAGTCTCGAATGTGCGAGAAAGATGGTGTGCATAATTCTTATATGAAACGTAGAAATCAAAATTATTTGTAATTGAAACATATTTTTATTATCGATAAACCAGAAAAACCCAGAACAAATCGTGAAATCATATTAATGTTCGAGCTTCAATAAAAAAGTGACGATTTTTACACAAATTTGTTTCGTTATTCGTGCAATAAAAAACTTAGAAAATGACTTTCTTATCAATGTTTTTGGTTCATTTAAGATAGTTTTCAATACTCTAGAGAATGAACTTTGGTTTGGGTCGATAAGTTAAATACTTTTTTGCTATTACGTCCGCTGATTTGAAAAAATCAGAAAAACGAGATTTCAAGAAAATGTGCTTCAAAGTTTTCGGTCGGAAATAGTATATTATGATACAAGTGCAGAAAATTGGTGATTCCTGACGAGTGTGACAAACGTCAAACGAGTAGGAATCACCAATCCGCACGCGTATCATATACTATTTTTTGCAACAATGTACGGAAAGTTCGCAGTATATGCACCAAAAAGAAGCACGAATGGTCATATACGAATCATAACATTCCTGCACACTTTGAACTTATCAGGAATGGACCACTTTGAGCTTGTTTTTGGTGCACCAATTGTAAACTTTCCGTACGGCGTTTCAAAAAAATGTTATTGGTAACATACACACACCTGCTCGACGCTTACCTGTTCTGGGATCTGTATCTTTCAAAATAATTCGTAAAAGTTGACTTCTAAAAGCTTAGGAACATACTTTCCAATAGAATAAAAGAACAAAAAAAAAAGAAAAAGAAATTTTTTTGACCTTCTAAACCAGACGGCTGCCTTAAAAAAAATTTTGTTTGAATCTGTCAGATGAGTCAGGATCCTCATATTGTATTGAATTATATTGTTTCGTATTATAAAGCTGATTTCATCCATGTCTATGCGTATAGTTATGTTGCATATATATATAAGCGATTCCATCAGACTTCAGCCACCCGTATTTTATTTCCTGTGATACGTGGATTCGGTCGTTTATTTTGAACACAGATATCCCGGAGACGGTGCTTCGTAACAAAAAATTATAAAAATGAAAGTTTTGTGTTTTTAGTATCAACAATAAAAAATTTTTTTAAATATTTTGAGTAATCTAAACCTGTTTTCAAAAAAAGAAATACACAAAACTTTTTTCCTGAAAAAAGCCCCACCGATATCGGTGTTACGAAATTTTTTAAATATTCTATAGACAGAATATGAATTTTGTGCAAAATTACAAATTGGAACATGCGGCCGTTTTTTAGTCACCATTTTTTTTAATTTATAGGAACACTAATTTTTGTTTTTTCTGATTAAATTATCTCTCTGTAGTTTTCAAGGTTGAGACTGTCTTTAGGGTTATAAACTTATAGCGCGCATTACTTTTTCTTTTTAAATTTATTAAAATTTATTTACTTCGTTTTGTTTAAGATTTTTAAAATTAGTGTTCCTATAAATTAAAAAAAAATTGTAACTAAAAAACAGGCGAATGTCCCATTTTATAATTTTGCATAAAATTCATATTCTGTCTACAAAATATTTAACAAATTCCGTAACACCGATATCGGTGGGGCTTTGGTCAGGAAAAAACATTTTGTACATTTCTTTTTTTAAACACAAGTTCAGATTACTCAAAAAAATGTTTTAAATTTTGTATTGTAGATATGAAAAAAACACAAACCTTTCATTTTTTATAATTTTTTGATACGATGCACCCTCTCCGGGATATCTGTGTTCGAAATAAAAACGAACGAATCCACGTATCACAGCAAATAAAATACGGGTGGCTGAAGTCTGATGCAATCGCTCAATATAAATCGCGCAATATATTGTATATCGAATATATACATATTGTACCATGATTTTTCGATTCACGGTCACAAGACGACTCCGGTTACCGATTCAGATAACGTTCTCGCTTTATAAAACGATTCAGATAACATTCTGCTTTATAAAGAGCGAAGAGGTCCTAAGGTACTTTAGTGAAGTCTTGATTTTGCCTTGTGTTGTATAAGAGATGAGAACGCATACCGAAATGGGGAAATTCTGTACAGTAGTGTACACATTAGTCATATTATGGTGTTGTACGCTAGGAGCAAATGGGGATACTAACACCAATTCCGCTCAATCCGCTTGTGCAACCAGCGACCTTTTCAAAATTATTTCGGGTACTCAGAATACAAGAAAAATTAATCCATTCAGTCCTATCCTGCCTGTATATGTGAGTGCAGATGCCATAAATATTAATGTTTCAATTAATTACTGGGATTCAAATACCGAGGAGATTAAACATAAAACACATAAAGCGCCAATCAAAAAGATCAGAAGTGATTATACTTTGACGGAAGGCATAGGCTATCACAAATTCCACAAGACGAAACGAAACTGGAATGATGCTCGCAAATCTTGCATCGCTGAAAATGGTACTGTGTAACAATGATTTATATATTATATCTGTGTAGATATAAGATTTAAAGAAGCTCTAATTATAATAATTTCTTATTACGCAGCTCAACTAGCAGTTATCAATTCTGCGAAGGAGGAGAATTTATTGCGTCAACTGATAAAAGTGAATACAGAAGCAGATAGAGAATATCAAGCTTTCATAGGTGTACACGAATTATTCCACAAAGCAGATTGGGTGACCGTTACCGGTGAACCTTTGCGCAGAACAGGACATGATGTATGGGCACGTGGAGAGCCGAATAGCTACCTCGGAACGGACGAGGACTGTGCCACTCTAGATAAAAATCGAGGAATGAATGATGAGTCCTGTTATTATCAATATTACTACATTTGTGAAATACCTTTATAACCCGAAGAGTAACTGTAATGTTATTATCTGACTCTACTTGCCTAGATCTGTGAATCGTTCTTTAAGAATTAAATAAAGAATATTTAATCCTTCAGTTTTCAATATAATTTTATTTGGCAGCGATAATATTTCTTCCTTTTTAGTCTACACACTTTTCTTACGCTGTTTTACCAATGCACGTTCCCTGTCAAAACGGAGCTTTTTATACACTGAGATTGGATTTATGAAAATTGTTCGCATTCCTGTTCTTTTGGCATTACCTGTAATGCTAGCAATTAGTTCATGGTTTAGAGGATGTATCTGCAGATCATACTAATAAACCGGCGGTATAACAAGTATCTCATTGTGAAAAAATTCCTAGTTTATATCTTTTCATTTTTGTTTTATTTCCATCGATAAGAACTGTTTTTTCTCGAATTTGTAAAACTGTCAACCTTTACACCAATGAATGATCTGATCGTACAGGTTGTTCGAAAAATTAAAAATCTTTAAGTAAAATGTACGTGATACTGATGAACTTTTTCCCAAATTAAGAAGGAGCGGTTTATAATTAACGACGTCGTTATTACCGATATAAGACTTTTATTTTTGCTGGCACTTTACATGTCTCTTCTTCAACGCGCTGGCGAACTCTGAACTCCCTTCCTTTTCAGAGGCGCCACTGTGCGCCCCATCAGCACACACACATGCTACATGTAAGGATATACTAATTTTTCTATGGTACGGGAGAGCGAATTGGGCGCACTTAAGGGAAATTCTCAATTGTAAAATGACTAAATAATAAGACGTCCTTCTGTCTGCACTGTTTAAAATGAATGTTATGAATTTAAAATCTAATAATCATTGATTTTATTAACAAGTTCATTGCGCCACATTAGGTGGGATGTTTTATACAATATTACTTCGTTGAAATTTGCATTGAAAGGCATCGAATAAGGAAATTGTTCAGCTTCACGGTGTGACTCGACATACGATACGAGTCAATTAGGGTCGTAAATTCTAATATCGAGCGCGTACTGTCCGACCCTGTAAGAAGCGTGAACCTCCGCACCTTCACCCCCAGAGGCCACACGGGTGCAAATCGGGCAGGCTAAAAATTTCAAATGCCCCTCTCTCGTAGGACACGCACAGTGGAGCCCTCAGTTGTCCTTCGAATAGAATAACTAACCCATTGGTGGAAAAGTAACAAATCCGAGAGTCGGAGTTTTTTACTTGTCACCAATCACAAGAGGGATCATAAGGATAAAAGATACTAGAAATTGAAGACCAATTGAAGATTTGACTTGGAAATTCCGCGTGACATTCATTATGGCAACCAAAGTTTCTTGCGCTTAACTCAAGCGTCCAGCGGACGTCTGGTACTTAAGAGTATAGTAATAACTTTCGTGAAAGGACGCTTCGACTGTCCAAAAATGTAGTAAAACATATATGGAAAAGGTACAGAGGTATAAAGCTGAGAAAACAGCGTCTGCTAGCCTAGTGTCAGATACTCTTCCGATATTCTGTATTCGTTCTGATATGTTCTGACCTGATGAACCGTCTTGGGCCAGCGCATATGTTATAATTAGCTAAAATAATAATGCGAGTCGGAATATTATTTAGATGATGATGGATTAAACTATTATAAAATGTACTCATTCCGTATGCGACGGAATCAAAGTATACATGTATGAATAAATTCAACATAAAATTTACGCAAATTTGGTGATCTTTTGAAGAAGATCAGTATGAATAGGTTTATTGCATATGGCTTATTAGGTTAAGTTTTCTGATAAATCCTATAACGTATTTTCTTAACTCGTCACCGATAACGAGAAATCCGAGAACGAACTATCTTCGAGAATCAACCTATGTTACCTATGTCAACCTCATGCATCCGCAAGCCAGCCAATTCTTTTTTCATCGGGAACTGACCAGCCGGTATGATCTGGAAGTTAGGGTGGAACAGGTCCAACTCTGCCGAAACGAGAGCTATAACGGAACCTCTCAGAAAGACGATAACTTAACGGATCCTGTTTATTTTGGGACGCGTAAAATCCAGAAACGCAATCGTAGGTGCTAATTTTTGGGGTCGCGTAAAATCAGCAAACGCAACTAGATGCACGAATGGGAGAGGACCGACGAACGGCCGCTCAGGCTGCTAGGTTGAGGTAGAGAAGGTCGGAGTAAGACTCAGGCAAATAGTGCGAGACACAGAGAGCAACGAATCGAGAACGTAACAGTACGAATCTGAACTATCAATCGAAATTCCTTCACCAATTAATAAATTGAGAGTCTTCACCGGAGCTGGTGCACCTAACCCGTGAGCCGAGAATTGTATCCAAAGGACACTCAGGTGGACACTGCACTAGTGCACAGCACTACACCTTCGCAACACTCACAGGAAATTCATAGAATTTCCTGGATATGGCGAAAGCAACGCGAGAACTACACGAACGAGAACTTACTATAAGGTATCGAAACGGCTAGAAAAACTATCGACAGATAGCACGGGAGCGCGAGCCAGTTCGTGACACGTTGGTCGATGCCCTGAGACAGACTGCTTCGGCAATAGCCAAATTCGAGAACTAATCATTCTGATTGGTCGAGATCCTTATAGCCGACAACTCTTCCCCGACTAGAAAATTACGCAGGGTTCCGATGAGGACCGGATCTGGCATGCCTGAGTAGGTGATCAGGTCCTGATAAGGGTTTCTTATGAGGCCCTGATAGTACGTGTAATGCAGGTACATTACAGAAACCTTGTCAGACCTACCTAATGTTAACTTCAGGAACATAATCAGATCCTGAGTAGGTCCTGAATCTGGTCCACATCAAGTATAGTCAGATATAATATTTTTACATACATTTCATATGCACATCATATTTACCCGCATATCTTATGGACGTTGAAATTACATACAGGTAACATTTTTTGAAAATATCGTAGGTATTCGAGTAATTTAGTGTAACGTATTAGACCTTACCTTATAATCCTTACCTTATTATATTCTCGATGTCTGGCACCCAGTATCTTTGCTGTGCCTAATTTTCAAGGAACCGTGTATTTACGAGTTCCATACAGAGCACCGTCCTGGATCCCTCTGACTATTGTGACTTAGAGTTAATACTATCGGCATTGTTTCTCGAAATTCCTGTTAAATAATTATCGGTCACAATATATATATAAACAATAAATTTATTTAAATATTTATACAATCTCAAATAGCACCCTAGGAGACAAATACATGAACTCCATAACAACTTTCTATTGCTCTTCAAATTCAGCATCAGTCTCTTCTGCTTCAACATCTCTCCTGAATCTTAGACCAAATCCGGCGCCAAACTGAGGTTCCACCCTGCCACCGCGTCCCGCCTGTCCTTGACCGTAACCCTTGAGGAACAAACCATTGTCAAAGTTGTGCTCGAATCGAACTCCAGCGTGGGGTTGAACACGGCCAGATTGAATGTTCAGTCCACTGTAGGCGTCAACTGTCCGCCTTCCGGTGTCAGAAAGTCGGTGTTCGTAGTTCACGT